TAGCACCCTGAGACCCTGCAGAGACCACCAGAGATCCTTCACAGCCCACCTGAGACCCCACAGAGCCCACCACAGACCCTGCAGGAGTAAGGATGGGCTCCGGCGTGTTCGCAGCTCCACGTGCCGGGCCCGCCGCGAAGCCGGCAGCGCCAATCACAGGCACTGAGACATTTCCCGATCTCTGCAGCTGCGGACCAGGAAAAGGTCTCACTACCTATGATTGGCGCTGTCAGCTTCCTGGCGGGCTCGGCACATGGAGCTGCGAACACGCCCGAGCCCATCCTTAATCAGGAGGAGAAAAGTTCCAACTTCTAAGATCTCCAACTACCTGACTTACTTAGAAGTAAGAGGATTGGCCGAGAAGGCTGTACTGCATGTGGGCCACCCACGGCATTTCTAAATGTCGTTGGGGGTCGTTGGAGATCTTGAGGAGTTGGAGTTTGACAGAACACCGGCTGCCTTTCTGAAAGCCCGCTAAATAGTCGGCCCCTCGGTGGCCACCTGCAACTTCCTCCGTCCACTTCAGCTGCCATAGGCTAGGAATAAGACTGCAGGGCTACCATTGACAGAGAAAGAGCAGGTCCTGAAGTGAGGACACAAGGAGGCAGCTGGGCATCATGCTGGACTGGAGGCGTCACCTGAGACTAGAACCTCCACCCCACCGCTGGCCTCTGCACTGTAGGTCACACCGCTGTCCTCTGCACTCTGCATCACACCCTGACCACTGCACTGTAGATCACACTGCTGACCTCTGCGTCACACCGCTGACCTCACCTTGCGTCACAGCGCTGCCCTCTGCGTCACACTGCTGTGCTCTGTGTTGCACCTCTGACTTCTGTACTCTGCATTACACCACTGACACATTCAGGTAACAGAGACCCTTGTCCTCATTGACATGGGACTAGGCGCTTTTCCAGGTGGTCCCCCCCGGCAAAGCATCCTTCCCATGTTGAGGGCATGTGTGTTGGTATGGTGTGGGGAAGGGGGGGGGGATGGTTCGCACGCTCATCCCCCTTCCTTTCCTACTCTGCCAGGCTGCTGCTTGCACCACGAGCCTCTAACTCCCAAAATAAACTGAAATATCAGACAAATCATATACCCTATCAATCAGGACAAATATAAGAATTTATTAAGAATTACTTTCTGTTAGCTACACACATTATTATTGCCAAAACTGTGAAAAAAATGTTTTTCCCATTTTTCTTATATTGTTTTGTATTTTATAGAAAAAAATAAGAATTTCTATATGCATATGTCACATCAACTTAAACCCCATTTTGTCCTTTAAAAAACGGTATATATTATGTGTAGGTGCAAAGCATGTGAAAGATGGAAGTTATGATTAATCAAACACATAGCAAAAATGGTCCCCAGAAGCGAAAACAGTTTCTGAAGCTGTGTCACTAAGAGGTTAAATAAAGTGCCACTAGCCAATCTTAAAGCTCGGCGGCATGCGGCCAGGCTAATTCGGCCCACAGCTGACAACATAGTCTGTCAAAGGTGCAGTGGCAGCAAGCTACCACCAGGAGATGCTGGAAGGCTGCAACAGGCATAGCAGTGGGAGAATCACTCCCAACACAAACTTTGCCATAAAGCTTTGTCCATGTTTGTTTAACTTTCTAAAGAAAACCTTATTTGCAAAATGTATTAATATATAAATATCTAAAAAAAATCAGGCTAGCTTTCACTATATTTCTATAAATTTATACTGTAGGAAGTAGAACTCAACCTGACATTAGAGTGAATAAATGGGGCTTTTATCTGAAGTTCAAGG